AAGTTGATACAATAATATGAAATTAGTAATATTTTAGTTAGTAAAATTATATTAACATATAATAAAATAAGGGATTTAAAAAATTTTAGTTTGAGATTTTAAATATGCCATCTTTTCTAAGATTTAAAATTTTCATTTATTTATAAGTTTATGCTTTGTTTTATGATTATATTATTAATGTTGTTATTACAATTATTAAAATTAACACATTATTTTTATTATTATGGATGATAAAATTAAAAATAATTAATAATTCTAATTAGATATGTTTTAGAAAATATTAATGCAATATTTTTAAAAAATATATTATTAAAAATATTATTTATAGTAATAATGTAGTTTTTACTTCATGGGTTTCTCCCATTGGAATGCAAGAACTAAGATAAGTTTCTACGACTAAAAGATATTAAACAATATTAATTTTATATCGTTAAGAGACTCCATGGGTTTCTCTCCATTGGAGATGCTCTCATCATATTTTATGCTACGAGATTTATATTTCGCGTGTAATTTTAAATTTAAGTTAGTGTATTGATAGAGTTTAGAGGATACCTTAAAATGGAATAGTTTCTCTCAGTTTTATTCATTAGCCATTACGCTTATTTATACAAGAATATAACTTGTTTAGCAAATTCTTTACATATATAAAATAGGAAATATACGTTGTACACAAATATTAACTTTTCTAAATCCTACAAGAAAATATATTCAATGATGATCTCGTCATCCCCGAGATCTCCTAACACCTTCTCGCAAGCTTATACGTGGTAACACGTATGAGATTGGAGAATCACCAGGTCATTTTCACGGTCTTCATACCCACTGTAGGGTCATCAATGGCGTTTATACCTCGCCATAAGGTCATCGATTCGGTGGAGGATACTGTAGTAGTTTTTTATCTCAATCGTCTCACGTCATCATGCAAACTGAACAAACTCTTAATTCATACTCATAATTTACGGCAACATCATCATGTCATCATCTCTGTCGAATCTGTATATATCCATAAGAGTCATTATTTTCGTGGCTACATCGATTTGTAGTTGATAAATAACCACATGAAGATTTTGTAGGTGAATTTGAACGAACCCATCAACAGTAAGAAGTCAAAGAAAGAAATTTATC